AGATACCTGAGGTTGGTAATGGTCCCCGACAGGCCAGTCAACTTTCTATTACACCAATCACAGCACTTCATCTTCACACAGTGTACAAATATCCCACAACATCCTGGGTACTCACTGTATGCACCCACACTTAGTTTTATCCTTTTAAAAAAATCTGAGAGCAATTCATAGCTCTGTGAGAATCAATGATACTTAGGACCATATCCTACAAAAAAAATGTAGCTTTTTACATTTTTAAATATTTTTTGCAGCATTTGTTCTAGGTAAGGAATCTACCACTGAGCTGTAGTTCAGCTCTGGGACCTTATATTAATTATTTTGCATTCATCTATTTATTGGGGAGGCATGGTGCAGGCGTGGAGGTCAGAAAAAACTTTCAGGGTTCAGCTCTCTTCTTCTGCCATGGATTGAACTCAGGCTTTGTGGCAAGTGTTCTTTCCTGCCAGCCCCTTGGTGTTTTTGTTTATTTGCTTGCTTTTAGTAGATAGAAGTCACCATCCAGGCACAGTGGTGCATGGCTTTAATCCAAGCACTCGGAAGACAGAGGCAGGCAGATCTCTGTGGGTTAGAGGTTCAAGGTCAGCCTAGACTGTGGAGTTCTAGAATAGCCAGGGCTATGTAGAGAGAATCTGCATCAAAAATAAAAGTCACTTTGGTTCATTCTACATATAAACTGGGTTTTTCCCCCCACAGCTCCACAGTGATGCTCAGAAGGCCAACGTCTATAATTACTATTAAACTCAGGTTTCCCACATTAATTCTGTGTCACACTATTCCTACTCACTGCCTGAGTGAATGGGTTAGTACTACGAGCTTCTTACTATAGCTGAGTACCTCGACTCATCACAGAGGTCATGCAAGAGGCAGGGCCAACTGTCAGTTGTGTCTGTGAACACTTCTGTTTCTATGAGGAGTGCTCTCCAGAGAACATTCTTTTCATGTGTACCAAATTGGTCTTTAGGGGACTGTCTCAGGAAGATTGCATCACCCACAATGTAGCAACTCTAACACATGTTCATTTGGCAAAGAATTATGCAGGGGACCCTGATCACACACAGTGTACACTGAGGCCACACCTCAGACAGTATTCATGAAATGAACATGGGTGGTTCATTTCTTTTGACTAAAACACAATTCATACCAAGAATCACTAAAATCCCTTCTTATGTGGTAACTCCATTTGCTTCATTCATGCATCTGTGTGAGAGAGGGAAGTCACTGTTTCAGATACCTGGAATTTAATAAACCCACACCCCAAATATCTTGTTCTTAAGCTTATATTCTAGAGAACTCTCTGTTTGCTAAGCCATCATGTTGGCTGAAAGAAAAAAAGAAAGAAAGAAAGGAAGGAAGGAAGGAAGGAAGGAAGGAAGGAAGGAAGGAAGGAAGGGAAGAAAGAAAGAAGAGGGAATTGTTTATCACAGAAATTCACATTTTCTGATATAAAGCAAACCACTCAGTGAATTACTTCCCTGTACTTACCTGATACTTATGTGGCAAAATGAGAAAGAAGAAGGCAAATGCTTGGAGCATATAATGTAAGGTATTAAGCACTCTGTGGTGGATGTTTGAGACAAGGCCTCGGAGCATAGCCCTGACTGACCCGGAACTCACTATGTAGTTCAGGCTAGCTGGACTCATGTCACAAAGATCCCCTTGCCTCTGCATTCTGAGATTTTTTAAAGCAGAATTTCAATTAATATTTGTTCTTCTGTATGTCTGTAAGATTTTTTTCAGCTGTGAATCACTCCCGACTAACATCTAACAATGGTAACAAGAAAGCTGTGGTTGGAAGCTCATTCAGCCTGGATGCATGTGGACGTGTTAATGTTGAGAAGGATGTAGAATGATGGCTTACATGAGATGATTTAACCAGTGGCTTTGCATTCCTTCCCAATCGATACCCTCTTACTCCAGGGTACCATCTTCACCCGCATGACCCAGTGTGGGTCAGCCATGCTCACAACAGAGGGACAGATACAAGGAAGAAGGGAAAATCTTGGTACCCGTCTTTAAGTGTGGGGTCTAGAAAGAGCACATGCCTGCTCATATCGAATCCCTGCCTCAATGACATCCATTTCTTCCTTTCCCAGAACCTGTACCTGGTGACTGGAAACGATGGAAAGAACCGCTATAAAGATGCCTCAGCTTTAAGACCTTGTCCTAGTTTGCTCTCTGTTGCTGTGATAAAGCACTCTTGCCAAAAGCAACTTGGAAGAGGAATGGCTTTGTTTCAGTTTTGGGTTATAATAGTCTATTACTGAAAAAAGAGAAAAGTCAGGTAGGACTTCCTATCCCATGCAGCCTCCCAGCCAAGGGAGTGCAGCAGGGATCGTGCAGGATGCTGGGCCAGTCCCTGACCCTTTCTCACCTGGCTTTCTTACCCAGCCAGGTAATGATTCTGCACACAGTGAGCAGGGCTTCTCCTGCATCAATCAGTAATAAAAATAATTTTCTGAAGATCTGCCCACAGGTCCATCTGATCTAGGCCATTCCTCTCTCAGACAGCTTTAGGGTGTATCCAGTTGATAATTAAAGCACGATAGCACAGCCATTGTTTCTTTAAGATCATGTCACTTGTCACCTTTCTTTCAGTTTAGAAAATTATTTATTTTTTCCTTCATCTCTTCTAGCCTCCAGGACCTCATTCTCAGACTACGGCAGGCTTGCTATTTCACTGGGAAACACAAACATTAAAAAGAGAGCTTCTAGCTGGGCGGTGGTGGTGCACACCTGTAATCCCAGCACTCGGGAGGCAGAGGCAGGTGGATCTCTGTGAGTTTGAGGTCAGCCTGGTCTACACAGTGAGTTCCAGGACAGTCAGAGAGCTGTTACACAGAGAAACCTTGTCTCAGGAAAGAAGAAAAAAAAAAAAAAAGCTTCTAAATGCCCAATCCCTAACAGAAAGCCTAAATCCCATAAGTGCCTGTCTCGCCTATGCTTTGTCCTGTGCAAAAGCCGCACCTGTTGGAAGCAACCTCTTCACTCGGATGCTTCTTGTCTATTTTCACATGCTTCATCACTTGCCCCATCTTTCCTGAGTCATATCCATCAGCACACGAAGGCTGGTTTTCTCTTCTTAAAGAAAAGTAAAAAAAAAGTCTCTCTCTCACACACACACACACACAAATACACAATAGCTTCTAAAACTTTCTCTCAAGGAAAACTTCCCAGAGAGGGCTGTCCATCCTTCCTGTCATATTTCCCCTTCTGTTGTTTTCTGAATCCACAGCACGGTGTTCACCTTCATCTCCTCACAGAGAGCCAGGGCCCACTCCAGTCCACCTGTCAACACCTGACTGACTCTTAGTGTACTGAACAGTTTTATGTCAACTAGACACAAGCGAAAGTCCTTTGAGAGAAGGGAACCTCAGTTAGGAAAATGCCTGCATAAGATTTGGCTGCAGAGAATCCTCTTGATTAGTTATTGATGGGGGAGGGCCCAGCCCACTGTGGGTGGAGTCATTCCTGGGCTGGTAGAGGAAAGCAGGCTGAGCAAGCCATGGGCAGCAAGCCAGTGAGCAGCACCCCTTCATGGTCTCTGCATCAGCTCCTGCCTCCAGGTTCCTGTCCTGTTTGAGTTCCTGTGCTGACTTCCTTTGATGATGAACAGCAATGTGGAAACACAAGCCAAATAAGTTACTCTGGTCATGGTGTTTCATCAAGGCAATCGTCACCTTAAATAAGATATTTAGTCAACATGAGGCACCCTCCTCACATGGTGCCTGGAATGTTTCCCTCCTCCATAGCTAAGCCACCTCAGTCTCCTTAACCGGCTTCTATGCCTGCCAAAATTGAACATCCTCAAATCTATCTTCCTTCCTTCCTTCCTTCCTTCCTTCCTTCCTTCCTTTCTTTCTAATGAATTTTATTTAAATTACAAACAATCTTATTTTACATATCAATCCCAGTTCCCTCTCCTTCCCATCTGTCCCATGCACCCCTACATCCCCCCATCCCATCCCCCATTCACTCCCCAAGGAGAGTGAGGCCTTCCATAAGGGATCATCAACATCTGCCAAGTCATTTGGGGTAGGGCCTAGGTCTTCCTCCTTGTATCTAGGCTGAGAGAGTACCCCTCCATGGGAATGGGCTCCCAAAGTCCCTTTGTGCACTAGGTAGGATAAATACTGGTTCCACTGCCAGAGGTCCTATAGACTGCCCAGGCCTCCTAGCTGACACCCATGTTCAGGGGGCCTAGTTTGGTCCTATGCAGGTTCCCCAGCTGTCAGACTGGGGTCCATGAGCTTGCCCAGGTCAGCTGTCTCTGTGGGATTCCCCTGCATGGTCTTGACCCCTTTGCTCATCACTCCTCTCTCTCTGCAACTGGATTCCAGGAGTTCAGCCCATGTTTAGCTGTGGGTATCTGCTTCTGCTTCTGTCAGCTACTGGATGAAAGCTCTAGGATGGCATTTAAGGTGAAGGGCATTTAAGGTAGCCTCTCCACTATTGCTTAGATTCTTAGTTGGGGTCATCCTTGTGGATCTCTGGAGATTTCCCAAGTGCCAGACTTCTCTTTAGATGTTTGTTTGCTCTGGCAATGCTGGGCCTGGGATCCAGAGCCCAGTGCATGCTAGGCAAGCCCCACTCAGCTACATTCTCGGCTCTCTGTTTACTTTCCCACAGATAAATTCTGAAGCATCCATTTACAAGAAGATCAATGAGTTTTCTCTATAATTACAAACTGAATGTCACATAATAAGGAAAATTTAGAAAACATAGAATACAAAGTAAAAGAGAAAAATTATCATTGATATCATTTCCCACACATGACTGTTTTATAACATTTTCTTCTTTTAGCCATTTATATATGCTATATGTGTATTATGATATATATTCACTTACAGCCCCATACATATAATGTCATATATGTATAAACCTATATAGAGTACCATACATGTACAAACCTCATGTATAGTGCTACATACAATCCTTTGTTATTGGGAGACTTCATTTTGCCCACTATATGCATAAACTAGATATTTCTGTTTCCTTTGCAGGCAGTGAGCTGAATAATTGCAGAAACCATATTTTGGGGCTTAAGGAAAATATGCTACGATTAAAAAACGAAAGTGAAAATTATCATCAAAATCTAGTGCAAGTCATGAATCAAATGAAGTATGAAATTACCCAGGCGGCTAGCACATCAGAAAATGTAGGTGCGTGTTGCTTTTACCTTTGTGAATGGTTTGTCATCTGTTTATATAAACTTGGAGACTTAGATGTAGGTGCTTCTGATTCTAGGTTACTCGCCCCCCCCCCAGCAAACAGTCCAGTTAGCGCAGTGTTTTATTGAGAGATACGCAGCACAGCACTCGGGCAAGACACCATGGCAGCAACCCCCACGTTTTCTGAGTTCTACCATCTCCATGAGCAACTCAGTAGAAGCATCCCTTATCCCCGGCATCATCCCTCGCGCCTCTTCGCCTTCATCACCCTGTGCCGGAGGGCCATCCCAGTGTTCCCTTACCATCTCTACTACACTGGGGCTATCAATCAATGTGAGCCCTACTCTGTGTATCTTTTTCAAAACTGTAGAAGGAATCATTTAGGAATGATGTGAATAGAGTTGCTGGATGTTAAGGGGCTACAAAAAAAATTATGAAGTTACAAATTTTAATGAGGTTGTCATCAATCAAAGTAGCAGGAGCACCAGTCCCAACACTTCTTTACCTTTCCATGCTCCTCCATCCAGGACTGGCAGTTCTGCTGGTTTCTGGTACAGCTCACAGTGCAGGGCTGAAATTAAACACTGGCTTAAAAATAGATACTCATCAATAACCACTGAACTGTGACATATAGAATCATGATAACAGTTATTTGCACATGTTTCCTTGAGCACTAAGTTTGTGGATGAATTCACACAAACTTAAAAAAAAGAAAGTTGTATCGGGCTGGAGAGCTAACTCAGTAGTTCATGTGCTGTTTGTCCTCCCAGAGAACCAGAGCTCTGTCCCCAACACCTGCCTCAGGAGCCGTGACTCCAGCTTGGGGACCATATCCACCTTAAGGTCCCAGCAGGCACCTCACACACATGCCTGCCAGGGTGTGCCATCCCCCACTTGTGCCTCACAAATAAAAATGTAAAGCATATTGCTGTGAACTTAGGGGCCTCCTTTCTTTCTCTCCCAGCTGAGAGGGAAGCGAGCTCACTGAATGAGAACGAAATACTTCCTAACAGATTTGAAGACTTAAGGTTCTTCCTTCCTCATCTAAAGACAACAGGAAAAATTTACCCCGATGTAGCCACTGGCAGAGGGAAAGCAGGCGGTAAGAACAGTTAGAACTGGGGAAAAGTTCAAGTATTTTTATCTTTGGGGGGATCTATATCTTAAATTTTCAGTTAGCACACAAAATCATGGGTTTCATCGTGAGATATGTGTGTGTGCATATGTGTGTCATTGTGTGTGTACGTGTGTATGCATGTGCGCTTATCACCTCTATCTGGTCATATTTGTCCCCTGTCCATCCTCCCCCTTCTCAGCAGTTCCCACCTTCCCCTTCCTTCAATTAATATGTCAAGAAATTTCATGGTCAAGTTTTTGGGTTTGAAGTTTCAAGATAGTAAGTAATATGTAGACTTCTAGCCATTAGGTATAAATTTTGAAGAAAATAACCATTCTATTTAATAACTTGAATTTAAGTTCAATTTCATTTCAGATGCTTGGAAAAGTAATTGACATATATCCAGTACACTTGAAGCCTGTATGACATATGTCCAGCACGCATGAAGCCTGTATGACATATGTCCAGCATATATGAAGCCTGTATGACATATGTCCAGTACACATAAAGCATCTACTAATGCCAGGCAAAGGGTTTTCCTTGCGTGGAAAAGCCTGTTGTTACCTGGTGATCCTCATATTCTTCCCACCTTCTTATGACCAATATCAGCAAAAGATGGAAAAGAGGATGGTTATTAATTTATTTGTGGTTTCAGGTCTTTTCTTTTTAGATAGGGTCTCACTATGTAACCCAGGCTGACTATGAACTCATAATGCCTTTGTTTCTACCTCCTGAGCACTGGGGTTACAGCCATGCATCACTACCCCATGTAGAAGAGGGCCCATTTAAGCTCAGCTTTGAGTTCAGGCTCATCATATATAACAGACCGAAACACAGTCATGCAGCTAGAAGCAGAGACACAGGGCCAAATCTTAGAATGTCTGACACAAGTCTCTTTTGTTCCAGTGAGAGGGTCACCTGGGGTCAGTCTCCTGGGCTGCCAGGTGCTACATATGGCCATGTTCATGTATGTCTGCTCTTGCACTACATTGGCAGAGTTGAGTAGCTGCAACAGAGACAGTGTGTCACAACAGTCAAAAGTCTGTGCTGTCTGACCCTTCGAAGAAAAGGATTGCCAGTCCCTGGACAAGCTAGTTCCTCAGAAATAAGTGAGCATCGTACGCTCCTGACATTGCCCACGCCTGGAGTGTGGAGATAGTGGTGCTTCCAAGCATCGTTTAACATCTACTAAATTCTTACTGTGTTTCCCAAACTAAGCATGTGTTTTTCTTACTCTGCTTAGTCCCCAGAACCCAGTGCAGTGAGGCTGATTACCATCTACCTTACCTTAGACCAGGAAATGGAGGCTGAGAGACACTGAAAGGGGTTTTGAGCTCAAATTGAAAATATCTCTAACTCCATCAGGATCCCCCTTCAGAGCCTTCAGAGCAGTGTGTGTGTGTGTGTGTGTGTGTGTGTGTGTGTGTGTGTGTGTGTGTAAACTATAGTTTACAGTAGAAGTTGTAAGGCAACAGTAAAAATACATAGGAACTATAAGATATTAGGCATGAAGAATAAAGGTAGTCTAACCTAAATATATATATATATATATATATAAATAAACAAGTTAGGAAACCACAGTTATGGGACTTATACAGCCAGACACTAGGGTGAACAAAATGCCCATGGAAGCTTAGTTCCTGTCTAGATTATGTGGGGCCTGTGACTCTCGATACATTACTTGTTACATTTGAGATAAATATTTATTCCATCAAACCATTTATAAATTACTTCATTCATGGTTTCCAGAGTGTCTTTTCAGCTTGGGACCCCAGCACCTCTTCAGGAAGAAGATGAGAGAACCTGCTATTATGGGGTGATGTGTACTGAGATAGATAAGCAAATGCTGTATTAATGAATGGAAAATGTTTCACTTTCTTTTCTCTACAACCAAATTCTCCACCATAAGAATACTCTGGAATCTAGTGCACATATTCAGTGTACTGCAAACAACGGAAAATGAAAACCAGGACTCAGAGTAACACTGTGTAGTATTTTGGTAGCATGGCTCAAAATGCTCTTTTTGGCAAGAGCAAGCGCAATAACTCACTGGCAGTGGTAAGCGTGGTCTGATGGTGAGGCACATTTGCTCCATGTCTGTGCCCCGCCTGCAGTTTCTTTCGCACTGGGAATCACCACCATTGACAGAAGGAACCACACCTACCTGAAGCAAACGCTGACATCCATTCTGTCCAGGATGACACCAGAAGAAGAGGAGGACTCTGTGGTGATTGTCTCTGTCGCTGATGTATGTATGAGAAACAAGGTCCCCTTATACCTCTCTGCAGCCTCCAAAACCCTCAACAGCAGCCACTTTTCCATCATGCTTTTGCTTTTGCTTTTTCAAAAAAATGAAAAAAGCCCAACACAACAATAACCCCCAAAACCAAGAAAACAAAATAAAACACCACCACCCCAAAATAAATAACATCAAATAAAAGCATGTGCACACGCACATGTGCACATATGTACGTATACACACACACACACACACACACACACACACACACTATATGTAGTCCATAATATACTGGTCAATTACTCCTGAACATGGGGCCTGGTCTGGAGTGGTTTACATACCCAGTGTCACTTCATTGGAGAAAACTGATTTTACCTTTCCCATCAGGTAAACATGACAGTTCAGCTGTTAACCTTTACCCTAGTCACTAGGTTTTCTTTCATTCGTTCATTCGTTTATTTAAAAAAAATAACAAAATATAATAAGATAAAACAAAAACTATCACATTAAAGTTGGACCAGTCAAACCAACAGAAGGAAAAGAGCCCAAGAGAAGGCACAAAAGTCAGAGACCCACACATTCACACACTAGGGAGTTCTGTAAACGCACTGAACTGGATGCTGTAAGATACACGCAGAAGACCTGGTCCAGACCCATGCAGGCCCTGTGCGTGCTGCCTCGGTCTCCGTGACTTCATGCAAACTTTGCTCGTGTTGATTTAGAGGGCCTTGTTTCCTTGCTGTCCTCCATCCTCTCTGGCTTGTACACCTTTTCCTCCTCTTGCGGGGAAGGAACCTCTGAGCTCTGAGGAGGGGTATGAACGAAAGAATGAGAGCTTAAAGAAGACATCTTGCTCAGTAATTAATAGATTCAGGTGTAGGTCTCTCCAATGGCTACATCCGTTCTCTTTTTCATCCCAACACATACTGGTAATCACTCATCATTTTGAAAATTTGAGTAAAACCATATAGAACTGTGTATTAGAATCAGACTTTTGGGGGAAGGAGCTGCCAGCATGTATCACAATTTAAAATTTAAATTCTGAGAACTTGTCCTTAAGAGATAGGCAAGTGTCTGAACACAGTGACACAGAAGGCTAGTCAAGAACACAGACAGCACCTGTGTGGTCATCTCCAGCAACAGCTGCTCTGCTTCCTGCCACGTGACCTTGGCAGCTCAGTGAGCAATTCTGAGCCACACTTCATGTAAAATCGGAGTGAGGCTGGTGTTGGCTGAAGCACTTCAAATGTCTGTTCCTGGAGTGCTACTGGGCTGAGTGAGTGTCAGACACTCTCATTCTAAGCGGTTTCATTTAAATGTGTGTGATTAATGTACTAATGTCCCATACTTTGACACATGGAGAAGTGTGCAGTAGCTTCTGTATTCAAGTGAGTGTTCTTTAAAATAACTGCGGAGATGTTATTAGATCACGATGACATTTCACACACAAATTCCATGTAGCAAAAGTGCTGTATTGATAAGATCACTAGGTATCCTTAATTTCAGTAATTTTTTTTTCTTCTTCTTTTCAGACTGATGATTATTTAAATTATGTTGTTGACATGGTTAAAACAAAGTAAGTACTTTCTGATAAACTTCAACATAAGCCACTCTTTATTTTTATGTTACGCACTTTTCTGTCCAATAGTATTATTGTGTATTGATTACTCTCTTTAGTGAATCTGAGCCATGAAAAATGAGCCTGTGGCTTTTTTAAATCTGTGAATTAGCACAGATACATGTATAGCACAGAATTTTTCCTGAGTCTGCAGACTTCTTTTTGGAATTTGTATTTCCTTACACTTCACCTGCAGATAGTGGAAGGCAGGGATAAGTCAGCTCTATGGTGTAAGTGGACTTCCTGGGGTAGACAGGAGTAGAAAGTTCATGCCTGGCACAGAATCCTCCGGAAAGACACAGAGGTCAAAAGGGCAATGTGCAGGATTGCTGGAATTTCCAATCTATTTGGAGCATAGATCCATGAAGTTAAGAAGGGAGGTATGATAGCTATGCAGAGACCTGTAGGAAGGAGTTGGCAATTTTCTAATGACCAGGGTGGTAACCCTGGCCACTGAACTGGGTCTGGCTAATGGGAGTGCAGCCAGCAGTGATGTATTCTGTTTTGGTTTACTCAGTAGTGGATAAGGCAAAAACAAGTGGACAGGGACTTGTCAAGATCAGGAGTGAAAAGAAAAAAGAAAAACATTATCCACAATGCACTCAAACCCTTGGGATTTGCTATATCGTTTCACAGATAACATCAGTGGGGGCCAGCAGAGATGGATGGACTGGTAAAGCACTTGCCTTGCAAGGCTGAGGACCAGAGTTCAGATCCCACGTTAAAAAAAAAAAAAAAAAAAAGCCATGTGGGCATAGTAACCCACAAACCACTTATAATCCAGCATCGGAGGTAACGATGCAAACCCTGAGCAAGCTGGCTGGCCAGACTAGCTGAGCTGGTGAGTTCTCTAAGATTAAGAGAGATCCTGCCTCAATACATAAGGTGGAGGGAAACCAAGGAAGACAACTAACATCGGCCCCAACTAACACACACAAGCATAGGAACATGAATACACACAAACACAGCATACACATGTAAAAATCAGTGGCTTTAGGAATCGCTGTATTTTATAGCTGAAAATGAGGAATATGAGAAAATTATGTGAGATGTTTCAGAGTGTTGAAAAAGTGTTGATGTTAACAGAGGGCACTTTGAACAATTACTTTTAAAGTGAGTGTGTGTGTGTGTGTGTGTGTGTGTGTGTGTGTGTGTGTACGAGTACAGAGGCCAGGAGAGGATTGCTGTACCCTGCTTTGTCCTCTCTGCCTTATTCCTTTTGACACAGGGCATTTAGCTGTACCTGGAGCTAGACTGACAGCCAGGAAGGCCAGAAATGCTCCTGCCTCTGTCCTCCACCAGCACCAGGGTTACAGGGATGCCCACAGCCATGCCTGGCTTTTCGTGGGTTCTGGAACAGATGGCCACGCTTGCACAGCAGGCAGGTTTACCCTGTGAACCATCCATCCCCCAGCTCAACTCCATAGCCTCAGACAAACACGTTAAAGAATAAGTGATTTCAGACATGTAGTGATGAGACAAGCACTGTGTCTTGTTGGCAGTCCTAGGTTCAATCTCTAACCCTAAAATTTGTCTAAGCGATTGTTTCCCAGTGTTATATGTCAGTTAACGTAAATGTATAAATTTCAATCCACGTTTGATTTCATAATATTTAGCTGAAGCATCTTGTCCAGACCTTCCAGAGTAATGAGGAAGTGTGTTAGATTTGAATTGACCATAAATTTGGAACTGCTTGATAATTTTTAAAGCACTAATATTTATACATAAAACTTTATTGGGACTGAACATAACTGTATTTTATACAAAACCATATTGCTTCAAGGTTTTCCCTTACATATCACTATGAAGAAGACTATTCACTTATAATAGTGACTGTCAATTTTGGAATAACATAAAGTAACAATCCAGAAATGTTTCAAAGAATCCTAGAAAATTGTCACCACCCAGGACCGCAAAATCTGTCTCTATCAGTAAAGGGAAATTGTATCACCACAGTCCAAGATTTTCCATGAGTGTGGATGCAGGTCTTTATTTGCCTCTACTGTACTCAATGCCTATATATGCCTTTAAGTTATATATTTTCATTTTAAAATTACTCTGTTACTTATTTTTGTTTCCAGCCAAATGTAGCTCCCCACTCTTTTCTCCTGTACCAGTAGTTTGCACTCTTTGAGAAGATACTAGAATTAATTCTTTTAAGTTTACAGTAGAAGGTGAGTGGAGCAGCAGACTATATAATCCTGGTACTTGGAGACAGAGGCAGGAGGGCCAGCCATTGTAAGGAGTAAGGTTTTTCCTCCCGCCGCTGGTCTGTCCGCCGCCGCACCAGCCCCAAATAACACACAGAGACTCTGTATTGGATATAATGCTGTTGGCCAGTTGCTTGTTTCTTATCAGCTAGCTCTGTCTTAAGTATTAACCCATTGCTGTTAAACTACGCATTTCCACGTGTTCTCTTCTTACCCTCGGAGAGCCGGCTGCTGTACTGCTCTCTCCAGACTCTCCATCTTGACTCCTCCTCCCTACTTCTTCTTTCCTCCTAGTCTCCTAGTCCCTCCTATCTTCCTTTCCTATTGGCCAACAGTGCTTTATTCATTAACCAGTATGAGAAACATATATACATAATGGCATCTCCCATCAAGCCATAGTTATTGTTAAAACATCTACACTGTTCAGTGGGCAGTAGAAGCAAGTCAGGCCACATCTAGCTAGCCATTTAGCCTAACTTCAGAAACTACTGTTGTTGAGCAGGGCTCCGACTAAATGGAAATGTATCCATTCGGAAAGTGATCTCACAAAGTTGTTTTCTCATAGCTGCTCTCATATTGTATCTAGCTTATTCTCTCTCCTCCTGACTGTCAAAAGATGCCTTTGACTATCTTAAGAAAATTCACAGTATATATAAAATCCTGTGAGAAATTTGTTTAACAATTTGCATTTTAGTTTTTAAATGTTTGATTTATTTTCCTGTGTTCATGATATGGGGGCATGCATGCCACAGTTTGGGCATAGAGATTAGTGAACAACTCTGTGGTAACTGGTTCTCTCTTCCACTTTTATGTGCGCTCCAGAGATGGGACTTGGATCACTGGACTTGTGGGACAAGTATCTTTACCCACTGAGCGATCTTGCTGGCCCATATATTTTAGTCTTTTGTTGTTTGTTTGTTTTTGATTTTTGGTTTTTTGTTTGTTTGTTTTTTCTGTATATTTCATTACTTTATAAATATTTTGACTAGGAAATAGTACTTACATGTTTTTGGTATCAGGTAGCAAACTGTGAGATAATCCAAACTAATATGTTATGTGGACACATACAAAGAAGGTATTTTTAAGTATTTACATTAGCTTGGTAAGTTTAGATATTCAACTATATCAGTGTTCAGCCTCCCTTTACTTCTGTTTCTAGATTCAAAAGACAGGTGGAGTCTGGGTCCTTGGAAGTCATTTCAATACCCACCTTTTTCTATCCAAGTGTATTACTGGGCAAGAAAACAATAGAGGACTCAGACAGGTAGGTCAAAGAATGGACCTGAAATAGCCTGCATCCTGAGGATGTTCTGGGACATGGACCTCAGCAATAATAACTGCAATATAGCAACATGGGGGAGCGCTCCTGCTGACTCACTCGGGTTGTCATCAGAGTCCTAGCTCTGAGTCCTAGTCCAATGACATTTCACTGGTAGCATGAAATCAGTCAAAGCATTATTCCATGACAATGGGCAGAAGATACATATGAGGAGCTATCGTCCTTACCATGCTGAGTAGGTTGGCAGCTTTTGCCAGCATACTGCTGAAGATGCTTCTCTGTGTTTACAGACAATGATTAGTAGAGACACAGTGAAGGAGGTGGGGGGAGCCTGGATTTGAGCTCATTCCTCCTGGAAGCTACTCCCAGCTTTCCTATTCCCTAGCCATGTTAGACAGGTAAATTGGCCTTTTCTCCTTGATTTCCTCAACCTTGCCAATACATTTAATGAAATAGTATAGATACACAATGTTTAATAGACAAACCAGATCATTTGGAAGTTATAAGACCAAAACATGGCAGTATTTATGAAAGAACATTAGAATGTTGAAACCTTTATATGCAGACAAATAATTATATGTTTCTGGTAGTAAATATGCTGTTGTGGGGAATGTATTGAGTTTATTTATTGAAAAAAAATTCTGACACCCATGGGAGGCCTGCCCCTTTCTGAGTGAATGTAGAGGAGGGGTGGACTGACAAGGGAATGGGGGAGGGAGTAGGGGGAAGGAGCAGGAGGAAAAGGAGGAGGGAGGCTGTGGTCGGGATGTGAAATAATTAAATAAGTTAATAAAAAAATAAAAAGAAAGGCTTGCCAGAAATCCCAGGGAAGATCCCTTGCCTGAGAACCTATTATATGCCTGAGAACATATATCATATGTGGTGTGTTTGAATCTCAAACTACATAAGGCTTTTTGTCCATCCTTGCATTAGTGTCCTACTCTGTGCTCAGGAAGTTGCCCCAGACCTTTGCTGTGCTGCAGCCATTCTTCCTCTGTCCTGTCCCTTGAGGTTTATGCACGGTTCTCCCTACCCCAACTCCACGGCCGTGGGCTGGCTCACTCTGCCTTCTCTTAGACTCACTTTCCAGGGTCAGAAGTCTCTGCCTTCATATGAGATTAGGTCCAGTGTGGCCCACATGTCCTAAAACGACGTCCTTCATGCCATGGTTGGTCTCCAGCACCCCGCTTCCCTGGCCCCGCTCCCCTGCTCTGTAGCTGAGGTGTCTAGCTCCTGCAGGCTTCAGGCCTGGGCACTGGATTGCAGCTACAGCTGCAAGTCCCCTGGATCTTTCTGTCCCACTTTTCTCCCTCCCCATCTTGTTGTATAATGATCTTCGCTGTTGACGACTTTACCCAACACAATCTAATTGCTCTAATTTTCCCATTTCTGTGTGTATTTTCTTAATAGTGAGACCCCAGGGCAAGAACTGCCGTGTCCTGTTCTATGTATCTCCAGCACATGGCCTAGTGTCCTATTTGCTGATAAAGTACAATAAGATTTCTGAACACTTTCATGTGATCAAGAAAGGCTACTTTAGTTTGCTCTTTGTTGTTGTGATAAAACACTGACCAAAGGCACCTTAGAGGAAGAAAGGGTTACTTTTGCTCATGGTTCCCACATCACAATCCATGGCCAAGGCATGCCAAGGCAAGACTTCAAAGCAGCAGCTTATAGCTGTAACCAATGGAGAAATGCTGCTTACTGTCTCCATCTCCAAAGCTTGCTCAGCTACCTTCTTCCACAGCCTAGGACCACCTGCCCAGGGGTGGCACCGCCCACAGTGGACTGGGCTCTCCAGCAGCAATCATTAACCAAGAAAAGACCCCCACAGTTGCCTACAGACCAATTTGATGGAGACAATTCCTCAGTTGAGGGCTCCTCTTCCTAAGTGACTCCAGTTTTTGTCAAGCTGACAATAAACTAGCCACATAGATGGTAACTTATTACTTCAATAAAAATTTGGCTGAAATGCAAAACACCTAGTCCATGCTTGTTCTAGTTTAGCCGAGGCAGGTACTGCCCACTCAATAGAGAAGCTCTTTAGTATAACTTTAGTATAAACACATTCCTTTTTATTTACTGTCTATACCATTCTGTCAGAAAATGTAAAAGTGTTATTTAATTACTGAAATAGCCTTATAAGTGAATGTGCTATAATGAATATTAAGAGATTTTATTCTTTGTTTTTTAGTTGGCAAATGAAGCAAACATTGGATTTTTGTATTTTGATGTTGTATGCCCAACCCAAGGCCACGTATTATTTACAGGTAAAAACTTGGTATACATGAATTTTAAGCCAAGTATTACTTTTTCAATCCTTCCTTTAGTCCCTTCCTTTCTCCGTGTGTTGCTCTATGGCCAAACAAATGGGAAGTATTTATGAATCAATATGCTGAAGCTTAAGATTGAATGTATCTTCTTGCTGTGTTCACTGTGGCAGAGAGAAGTCCAAACTGAAAAGAAAATCTAAAATAAAGCTCCTGGAAGTACATAGAAATTGCCCTGTGTCCATGTCTAAGCCTCATGGTAGGTCATGCTGTGGACCTACGCAGACTGCCATCCCTCACTGCCTCTCACTTTGTGAGTGGCGCTGTTCACTACTGCATAGTGAAGCTGTAGAATGTGTCCATCATAGGTGTTGGTTTCCTTTCGGTCCCTTCAGATCACCAGATGAGAGTGGTGTGTCTCCTGTAATAAGCAACACACCTCACTTCAAAGAAAAATGTGCCCTCATGGAGTTTTCAGAATTACCAGTAGAGGGCAGAGAGAAAGCCGAGAAAGGCTGAAAGCAAGATCTCTTCCCAAGACTGAAAGACAAACAACTCCTTTAGCTCAGAGGAGTAGAGGGATGTCAGCTGCCTCCCAGCTCTGTCTTGTGTTTGTGCCCCTGGACGTGGCTGATGTGGGAAGCGCCACAGTCTAAGGACATCACATCCTGTACATAAATCAAGGACGGCTCTCACCCTCACCCCTTTCCCTAGGGAGCTTCCTTCTAAGGGTCCTTCTGACCAGCCAGGTGTGGGTGGGAATGGCCAGCTCCTTCCTGCCACCTCTCACCAAGGACCATAGCAGCTACAGATAGAACCTGGCAGCATTACCTGAGGAGCAGAGCAAGTCTGTCTGCTGTCTTCTTGATGTTTGTGTTTCCATCCTAAATTACCATGTGGAAGTCCTAGTTCTCAGATGTGTGGTCTGAGGAGGTAGGGCCTTTGGGTGTGGCTTGATCCTGAGGACAGAGTCCTGATGACTGGGATTAGTGTTTACATACAGAAGGCCTCTTCTCTCTGTCAGAGAACACAGAGAGACCTCCATGAAGACTGAGCCTCAGCAGACCCCTCGTCTACTAGCACCTGGATGCTGGACGGCCCAGAGTCCAGAACTGTTAGAATTCACCAACTTCACTGATGTGGATAAGCCAGCCTGTGGAATCCTGTTATAACAACCAGGCTAGACAGCCGTCATCTTAATTAAAGCTGAAATGTTGATGACAATTAAAATGGATTAAATGGAATCTCGAAGAGGACTTAAATGGGATGTTCTAGTCAGCATTTAGGAGAAATAAAAGACACTTTAGGTTTTATTAATATCATAGTCAGAGAATAAATCTGACCGAGAATAGCCTTAGTGAATTGACCAAAGATTATCATCTTGCCAAAGACATTTCCAGTGTGTTCTATTGGTAGTATTTTTTTGTCTTTGATATAATGTTAATTTAATGGAATAACTGGAGGTATTAATGCTATTTTTTTGTATTTGGATTTTTTCTCTAGCTAGAAGATGATATCATAGCAAGAAAAATGTATTTTACAAAAATGAAAGATTTTGTAAACAGCCTCACTTCAAAAAATTGGCTTTTTATTGAATTTTCAGTACTTGGACTTATAGGTAAGCCATAGTCTATTGTGTTAAATCACATTGGATTAAGCTCTTTCTTCCCTCCCTCCTTCCTTCTTTCCTTTCTTCCTCCTTCCTTCCTTCCTTCTTTTAAGTTCAGACTCCACCTTAAAATATTAATCCTTCTGCCTCATCCTCAAGTACTGAGATTATGGGTATGCCAACATCCTCTGCTTAGAGTAAGAATTTGTTTTTCTGTCAGTCTGTCTGTCTGTTTAGCAGAGCATAGTCTTAAAACTTTTTAAGAACATATCAAATAATTTGTTTGCTATAATACTTAGTGGAAAGACCTAGCCTGATTTCTGTGTGGATAATATGACCTAGAAAAGCCAGACTGGGCCAGGCGTTGGTGGCAGACACCTTTAATCCCAGCACTCAGGAGGCAGAGGCAGGTAGATCTCTGAGAGTTCAAGGCCAGCCTGGTCTACAGAGCTAGTTCCAGGACAGGCTCCAAAGCAATACAGAAAAACCCTGTCTCGAAAAGCCAAATTTGTGCACTTGAATTACAGGTAACATATTTTGATCATTTTTTTTCTAGGTAGACAATATAAGTGAGCAAATTAATGTATACATGCACATTATAAAAACATACAATTGGGTGCTATGAGTATGCACATGTACGGTGACAGATGTGTACTATCCTTTCTTTATGTAGAAGAACTAAGGGGCCCTTGTTATACCCTAGTTGGACCGTAAATGCTCAGTACAGGCTAGACTCCAAATCCTGTCCTGATACTTCGACCAACAAACTGACCAATGAAAAAACCCAGCTGATTCTCAGAGAAGTGAAGTTGTGGGAAAAAGAATTCAGGGCTGTGGTACTTGAGTGTCTGATGTCCAATGTGTCAAAGTTGCTACTCTTAATAGAAATGATTTCGTGGCCGGGAGACGGCTCAGACGGTAAAAAGCCTGCTGTGTAAGCACAGGGACTCAGGCATGGTGGAAGCACCCAGACCAGCTTTGGGGAAACTGGAGAGGCAGATCCTGGAGCTCACTGGCCAGCCAACCTAGCTGTGGGAGACACTCTGAAAAATGTAAGGTGGAGAATGATCAAGGAAGACACCCAAATATTGACGTTGGGCCTTCGGAAGCATGTGTACTGCATAACTCATAGGCACACATGTACACAACACACAAAAAAGAAATGGTGTGTGAATTGTACCGGCCACGGAAAAGTTCCCGTGGCAGTGCTTACGGTATAATTCAGTTCCTGCAGCCATTTTAGATACCCCCTTTTCTTCCTTCCTCACAACCTTTCCCTTAGCTCCTTTGAGCTTTGTGGTCTCAAGCTGGGTTACCTCTCATTTCCAGGGGCCTGACATTAGTTAGTCTGATGGACATTCTGTCTTATTTTACTCTTAAAAAAAGAAATCCCGGTTTTCTACTTTAACTTTGACTGTCTAATTAGTTTTAGATTGTGACAGGTTCAGAACTGACTTGGAAACTGAAACAAATCTGAGTAGAGAATCTGCCCCTGCCCTGGCTCTTACTTTCACATAATATAATTAATTAGCCTTTTTCTGTTCCTTACAGTTTTTACCTTCAAGGCTACATTCTAAACTCTCAAAATCTTGATCAATGCCCATCTCTGATCAGCTAATCAGCTTCTTACTGTTGACAGTTCTCTGCTAGAACAGGAGAGAGAGAGAGAGAGAGAGAGAGAGAGAGAGAGAGAGAGAGAGAGAGAGAGCTGAGTGGGGAAGTGTCTTCAGAGAGAGAGAGAGAGAGAGAGAGAGAGAGAGAGAGAGAGAGAAAGACTCACATGTGTGACACTGAAGACCTTTCTTCAGTGAAGACCTTTACTTCATGGGGCCTCAATTTTCCTTACTCCAGCAGCCAGAAGCATGGCCATGCTAAATAGGACTTTGCTTGTAACAGAAGAGGACATAATCATTTTCATCATTCATCTCAACATCAGCAAGTAGCTAAAATACAACTGTACATTTCATATTAAGTGACCCACATAGCCTCAAAATCCAAAGGGGGGAAAACTGTATGTGTCCATCTAACTTACTAAATAGGACAAGTTATTTTATGTTACATAGTTTAAATCAAGCATCCAACTGAATCTTTTCCATTCAGTTTCATTTTAAAATTCAGGACTCAGAGTTTTAAAAAGAAAAAACTAACTGGGACTAGTTGATCATATTTTTAAAAATACAATATGTCTTTAAGAAACATGAACCTAAAATAGTAGTCTATCTTATAAATGCCTGGTTAAACAATTTTCAAATTTTGAAACATTCAATATTCTAGTAAAACATTAGGACTAAAGGTTACTGTGTAGTAGGTCCATTGAGTGCTTGCCAAGGTCATGTGAAGATCCTTTGTGTAGAACTGAGAGAGTGGTCTGTCACCTTAGCAGTGAGGGTGAGTTCAAAATGCTTCCCAGAGAGAGTGGCCCAGTGTGAAGTTGCTCACAGACCCGCAGTCTGAAGCAAGCAAGATGCTTTGTGGTCTCCAACCTAGGTGATGTGATTAAGTTCTGCTTGCTCCTTTGAATGGAACACACAAGGCTCACGTCATACACATGCCCATGAGTTTATTTTTCTCCACAGGAAAACTCTTTCAATCAAAGGACCTGTTTGACTTCGTACATTTTTTCTTGATGTTCTACAAAGTGAAGCCCATAGATATACTTTTAGACGACATTTTCCTGGTGAAGATGTGCGGCTGGGGAGAGCATATTGTGAGTGTCCCCGGCGAGGGCGTGGAACGGGGGAGACCCTGTGTGAGTGTCCCCGGTGAGGGTGTGGAACGGGGTACACCCTGTGTGAGTGTCCCTGCAGAAACACCAGACTGAAAAAATACCATCCTGTCACACTATCACTGAAATATTTTTATTAACAAAAATAATGATCTGATGAATGTACCAAAACATTAAGCTTCTGCTGAATTTTGCTGACATCTCCATAATATTAAATGAAATAGTGAGGATCCAAACTAATGCTGGGAAAAGCTACAACACAGACAAAAAAAAGCAAAACAACAAAAAGAACAGAGGTAAGCTAAAAAATAATAAGACATACATCCAAACATTTCAATATCTGTGTTAAGTGTAAATTGTCCAAATGTACCAAAACAGATTATTAGAATCTTTTTAAATTACAGATGGTGGTGTGTGTGTGTGTGTGTGTGTGTGTGTGTGTGTTCAGTCCAAATGTAGGGTGCAGATTAAGTCATAGGTGGGAAAAGGCAGATGACGCATAGTGTAAGCCACCCAGGAAAGTTGGTTCTACAGTGCACCTCAGAGCAGGAATGCTGCTCCAGATCATCAAGTGCCCTGCATGGTCCCACGGATGTCCCGCTGGGGACTGCCAGACTTCAGTTTAAAAAGAGAACTAATCTTGATAAGTTACTAACAACTCCAATAAATTGAAAAGACAAAAGGCACCAGACTTAGAATGAGAAAATGTGGTGACAGAATTCACATGCCTTAATAGGAAAGTGAATGCCACGATTACATACATGTAGCCTCAACTTAGAAAGTAAATGGCTGCTTGCAAGCCTCACACGCTGTCAAAACTCATCTGTGATGGAACGGATTACCTGAGTAGGTCTACATGTAAGAAAGTTCAGTAAAAATATAGAAGCCCTCTGAGAAAGAAATGGCCAAGTCCTGGTGGTTTTATAAGTAAGTTCTATCTAAACACTTAACAAACAAATAATAACAAATGAATTTCACATTTTTCTACTTTGTTAAAAAATATATCTTGCCTCAAGTTTATTTGTAAAAACACCACAGAGCACAAAAATCTGCAGAGAGTGTGCAGGTATGTCACACCACCCACTTTGTCTTCACATTGCAAGCAGAAGCCTTTATGGGACCTTTGAAGGGACCTGGGCACCTTTGGGAACCTGAGCTGGACCTGCAGCCCCACCCTTTGTTTGAGTCTTGGGCTTTAGTTGGCAGAGTCTGAAACCTTTGGCCAGTAGCTGGAAATCTGCTTCCCAAACTTGGGATGAGCGATGAAAACAAGATGGCCGAGTTTACGTTGGGCTCTTCAGTATCGTGGACTTAACTGATTGCCTTGGGCTTCACAAGGGCCTTTCTGGCTCTGCACACGCACTGATTGCTTTCACATTGTTTGTCTGCCCCCTTTTCAGGCCTTAATTGTGCTTCTTGGCAAAGCACATGTTCCCCAGGAACTTGGGGTCAACCTCCTTAAGGGATTCCTTTCTTAGTGACTGGGATTTCCTGATGCGATCCCGGTGCTGTTTGGGGACTGGTTATGTGTGGTGTGGTTCTTGGCCATGTCTGCAGAGCAGTCTGTGGATCCAGAAGCGCCTGGGACGTTGAATGATGTGCTGAGTGCCGGACCCAGGCGGTGCTCAGCTGAACTCAGAGACACATCAGCCCCAGGATTTTAAAAAGCGGAGTAAGAGGAGGCACAGCCAGCATGAGCTTGACATAAAAACCGAAGGGGACACAGGAAAGAAAGCCGGGGCTCAGCACTTGGAGGGCAAGGCAGGAGGACCACGACTTGGAGGCAAACACACACACACACACACACACACACACACTCAAACACACCCTCTAATACACTGTCACACATACACACTCACACACTCTCATACACACTCACATTCTTACTCACATACTCTGACACACACACACTCTCACAACATACACTCATACATTCTCACACACTCATACACACATACACATATGCACTCACACACACTCACATTCTTTCACATAATCCTCTGACACACACACATACTCTCACACACGTATATACACTCACATTCTCACACACTCACATACTCACATTCATACACAAACACTCACACACACTCTCATACATACTTTCACACAGCTCACACATACACACTCTCACACACATATACACACTTAAACCTACACACTCACAGACACATTCTTACACACTCACACACACTCACACAATACTGTCTCACACACTCAACACTCTCACCCACACTCACACACACACATACACACTCTCACACATTTACACACACACTCTCATGCACTCTCACACACATACACTCACACACACTCATACACAAACACACTCACACACATATTCATACACATACGCACACACAAACACGTATTCTCTCTCTCTCTCTCTCTCTCTCTCTCTCTCTCACACACACACACAGTGACAGTGGTGAACCAAGATAAAAATGGTAAATTCCACACAAGCATATCTACAAAAATTCCCAACTAAATGACAGTGAATTAAGCTAATTAAAACAAACTGGTGAATTTGAGTTTAAATTAAATTAAAACTACATGCAATGTAATCTATGTATTTCAATTTTTAAGGAGGGGCTGGCAAAATAATTCAGTGACAGACCATTTGCCATGCATGTATAACTCCCTAGGTTCCTTACCAACCCTGCCACACAACACAGCAAAATCCAAAATTTGCCAACCAAACAAAAAGCAGTCTTAAGGAACAAAGGCACATGCTAATGTCCAACAACATGCAAAAATCACGTGATAAGATTAGCTTTCAGACAAATGGGAGTGGAGCAGAGTTTGGGCTTCAGCAAATGAGAAACGACACATGCCTGTGCTATAAAAAGGGGCTCTCCAGAGGAGGGTGTGGCAGGAAGGTTTCTGTAAGCCAGAAAGCCTCCCTTATATCACAATATATAAAGGACTCCTACAAGCTAATAACAGTTCAATAAAAAGTCTATTTGTAAAAAAGGTTTAGGGCTTAGGAGAGATGGTGTGGAATGACTCAGGGTCAAGAGCACTTGTTCTTGCAGAGGTTTGATTCCCAGCACCCACGAGTCTCACATGGCCTGTCATTAACAGTCCAGGGATCCAGTGCCCTCTTGTGGCCCCCCTGGGCACTGCATGCACCTGCATCTGAAACAGACATGTAAAATAAAACAGATCTTTGAAAACGTGGACAAGCCCAAGGTAACCAAGACATTTACTCTCTCTTACTACCTGTGTAACAGATGCAGCCCTGCTTATCAGCAAGCTGTGCTGGGGATTAGGGACAGGTGGGGAGGAGGCAGGCAAGCCACATTGCTTTCCTACTGGAAATTTTCTAAAACTACGTCAAATATTTCATATCTGTCAACATTTTTAACTATTAGAGTAATTTTATTCCACGCTAATTTAATTTCAAGCTGAAGTAACAGATCATTAAATGGCTTCTCCATTATTGTTAGATTCCTTGATAAAGTATTTTCTTATACAGTAGTATTGGGTAGAAACATATTTAAGTAAAGTTACTAGATTCTTTTTCACTTGTATGTGAAAATTTGAGATTGACTTTTCTAACTTAAATGACAATAAATGATTAAATGATTCTCAAATCATAGACTCATAGTCATGATCATTTGGAATTTTTTTTTTTTTTTTTTTTTTTTTTTGGATGCTGGGGGGATAGATGTAATCCAAGACTGGCCCATGCCAGCCCAGCCCTCCACCTCTGGGCCATGCCTTAGTTCTGATTTGTTTTGAGTATATTTTTACGAAGGTCATTTAAACAGTTTTCCATTAAGTATGGTATAGACTTTGTACTGTAATCACATTCTTTTTCCACTTTTGAAGAGATTTTGAAGGATCTAATTTGATACAGAATTAATGAATACAGGAAGACGAAGGTGTGATAATATACTCTGACAGGATTGTATAGACAGGAAGAGACTCCCTCCCCCCAAATCATTTAAGCTATTGAAATGAAAAGAGAGAAGGGCCAGTTGTGTGACTCATACCCACAACCCCAGCTCTCAGTAGGCTGAGGGAGGAAGACTGTCTTGACCTCAGCGTCGGTGTGCTATATAGTAAGTTATCGGGCAGCCTGGGCTATGGAGTAGTGAGATCCTGGCTCAAAAATATCAAACAACTACACCCCCCCCCAAAAAAAATAAAAAGTCCTTTAAAAAGAGAGAGGAAGAGAAAATGAAAACTGATAGAATAGCTTGGCTTTGTGTGAGTTCGTGAAACTACACACCTCCACGAAGCTTTTCCATACCCTTCTCTTCTGCTGGGTTATTGTTATGTAGGAAGACCCCAGAATGGAATATTTTATGCCAAATTTTAAATACTAATATAGAAATCTGAACAAAAGCAATCTAAAAAGACCCTCTGGGTAGTAAACGTGATAGAAGGTGGTAGAAGGTGGTCTGTGTGAAGATGTCTGCTTGCTCTTTCCTCAGAGGCACTGTATGTATCGAAAGAAGGAAGCCCGGGTTCAGTACAGACCATCTCTGTTTCAGCACGTGGGTATTCAGTCATCATTTCCTGAACGGAAACAGCAGCTCAAGGTAAGGCTCTGAAATGGGACTGCAGTGACATAGCCTAAATGAATTTAGAGACCTTTGGAAAAGGGAGGTGACAACTGTGATTCGGTCATTGTGAAGTCGGTCATTGTGAAGATTTTAGAGATATCTTCCAAGGTCCCAACTCATCTACTACAGTAAAAAAGAATTTGGTCCATGTGCATTTACTCTTTTTAGCTGTCCAATCCAAATAAGACTCAAGAAGTGTTTTGGAGGGAAAATAGAAAGAGAAAGAAAGAAAGAAAGAAAGAAAGAAAGAAAGAAAGAAAGGAAGGAAGGAAGGAAGGAAGGAAGAAAGGAAGGAAGGAAAGAAGGAAGGAACACAGCAGATGTCACTATTTTAGTCTGAAAATAAACATCATTAGCAAGGATATTTCAGAAATGGAAAGTCCTTGTAAATGTAATCAGTATGTTTATTGAAATAACTATTGACTAGAGGGGAAAAGTCATCATCGTGTAGTGTTTAGGCATTCTTAACTTTCACATCAGTTTTAGAAACAGTTATTGTCACTGTGACATGACATCTGAGACAAACAACACCAGGGAAAGGTTTATCTTGGCTCACAGTTGCAGCAGGGTCAGTCTAGGCTTGCTCAACCCTCTTGCTTTGGGTCCACAGTGCAAACATGCTATGATACAAAACAGAGGGCAGGGAAACTGAGCGCAGAGAGAAGGTCAAAAGTATACCAAATTCTTCCCTTGGGTTTTGTGTGTTATAGGTCCCCACTCTCTAGCTGCCAGGGCCTGGTGACTAAAGCTTCACACTGATAAACATTTTGAAGTCCCTAATAGTGGGTTTCCCCATGGATGCAATAAATCAAATCAAGCCGAATGAATAAGACCGGGTTTAATCTGAACAAAGCTATTCCCAGAAACAGGAGACTCTCCGGGAGTCTAGGGGCAGGGTCCTGAGTAGTTCCAGGGCAGGAGCTGGCCCTTGGCGACTTTCTGGGAGGATCAAGGCTTGGAATGGGAGGAGTTGGGGCTGAGTTCCCAGTGGAACACCTGGCCAGGGTTTGGGATGGGGCTGAGGCTGGAGATTCCCAGTTCCCAGCACGTCTTTGTGGGTGTTTACCCAAACCATCATGGCTTCTAGATAGCTAAGGAGAAACAGTTCAGGTCCCAAATAGCATGAGTTTAGTCGTGGCAACTGCAGAGTGGATGTGTGATCCTGGGGAGCATCACACTCCTCTTCCTTCATCTATGAACCCAAGAATGTAAATCATCCAGAAGACTCCTTACCACTGAAACGCTGCCGGCATCTCTGCCATTAGTGTCTTCACACCAAAGGAGATTATTACACAGATTCTTTGTCAGCTGAAATAGAAGTATACACATCTATCCAGCCATCGTTCAGGCCTGTCCTTCTCTCTCGCTATCTATGGCAAGGAATTGTACTACACTTGTTGCAGGGAGTGGACTTGGACAGTGTTGGGGCTCACCTGTCAGGGAAGGTAAATCTAAAATCAAGACCAGACCACACTAAGAAGATCCCGGAACAACAAAAATGGTGTGCTGTGAATCCATATGCAAATGGTAACACCATCAAATACACAAAGCCCAGCAGCAGGGACACAGAAGGAAACTTGTCTCTGCGATCTCGGTTTGGGTGGAGTGATAATGGGATCCTTTCCTCAGGTTATGGATTTTGCCTGGGAAAATATTTGAATTCAGCCGATCCGTAGTGGTGCATTCTTTTAAACCCAGCTGAGGCAGGTGAATCACTGAGTTCATTGCTAACCTGGTCTACAGCGTGAGTTCTAGGACCACCAGGGCTGCACAAGAAAAAAAAGATATTTTAATCTAACCTTGGTCAATCATGTTGGATTAAAATAAGTGAGTGTATAATATCTTATATTTAGATAATCTTGGTATTGTCTCTCTTACCCTTCACAGCAATAAGACAGACATAAGTAACAATTTAGCCCTCAACCTTCTGTGAGTATATTAATTTTTTCTTTTACATTTCTGACAGGATATTTTTTACTAGGATTTTCCTAAATCTCACAGTTTCTTCAAAAATTATCAGACTCGTTTCTGGGGAAAAGGCACAGCAAGAATCAGATTTTTCTCAGATCACACTGGATAAGAGACTACGTCATATTGTTTAAAATCAATCCTCCAGTAATAAAGTGAGTGTACCAATCTGATCTGTCTGCACAGTTATGAAGTAAGTTCCCAAAGCACACTATGTACAATAGAGCTACACTGTAGACTTATTAAGAAATCATCTCACCTGTGGTCACCAGGTTATATCACAAAAAAATTATCATGTCCTTTTAATGATGAACCTTAGTTTTGAAATTGTCCAAAATTTGACTAGGCCTTCAAATTTAATAAATGTCCTATAATATGTTTATAACAAAAACTGTTCTTTTGTGTTAATGGAATGGCAATTTCTTTAAATTACTACAAAATACTCAGAAGGGAGTGTGCCTTTTGGTGGACAGGCGAGTGCTTTTCTATAATTTGTTAATGTGGTGCTTGTGGGAAACCATTCTCATTCTTGTGCCGTGTGCTGCACTCAGCAATGATTTTATTGTTGTTTGAGACAGGGTCTCAATATGCAGCCCAGGCTGACCTCAAAGTCCAATCCCTCTGTCTCAGTCTGCAGAGTGCCAGGGTTGCAGGACAGCATCATCGTGTGCAGCTAGCAACAACTGTGATTTTACTTTTCAAATTTCTTCACGTTTATTTATGTGCATTGTGGGGAGAGAGGGAGTGTGTGTGTGTGTGTGTGTGTGTGTGTGTGTGTGTGTGTGTGAGAGAGAGAGAGAGAGAGAGAGAGAGAGTGCGGGTGCCTGAGGCCCCTCCAGAGCTGCTGTTACAATGATGTGGGTGCTGGTCCCCTGGAAGAGCAGCTCTCACTCTTAACTTCTGAGCCATCTGTCCAGACCAACAATAACTTTCAAAGAGATGCTCTGGCCGCACTGCTGCGTGCATTGCTGTGGCTGCTGCTGTCTTACAGGCAGGAGGTAATGGAAGGAAGGGATATCCCATGAAAGTGAATTAGCTGAATAATTATTTACAACTCTGTTCTTGACTTTTATTAAAGAACCATGTACTTTTTTGTCTTTCCTTCAAAACTGCCTTGTCTTTTTCTTTTATATTTAAAAATATGTATGACAACATTTTCTTAGAATATGAGGGTAGAAAAATTATCCCCCCCCCCAAAAAAAGGCATGTCTTTTGGCCCATGGGCTGCTTTTGCTACTATTACACAAAATTTAAAAAAAAAATGGGGGGGGATGTTCAAGACAGGGTTTCTCAGTGAAACAGTCCTGGCTGTCCTGGAACTCACTTTGTAAACCAGGCTGGCCTCGAACTCACAGAGATTCACCTGCCTCTGCCTCCCAAGTGCTAGGTTTAAACGTGTGTGCCACCACCACCCAACTCAAAATTATTTTTATGTGAAAGGAAATACCTACATTATCTTATACTGATAGTTAAATTTCTGCAGCTTATTAAATTTTATATTCAATCTCAGAATCTCATAAATTATTATAAAAGGTTTGTCGTGTATGCTTTCACTCTTGGTTACCCTGGCACTTCTACAGATATATTTACGTTTTAAATGTGATTTTCCTGCCTTCTTTTTCTTTAGCATACAAAATAATGGTTTTTATTATGGCATCTTACACATATTTTGTTGTCTGTGTTCCTCCTCCCCAGCCTCCCTGCAGCCCTTGGGCTGGTCCTGCTGCCCCCTCCCCACTTCCCCCTGCCCCGGGCTGGTCCTGCTGCCCCCTCCCCACTTCCCCCTGCCCCTCCCTCTTGCTCTCACGTCACCCGTGGTCATAATCTTCTCTCCCCCCAATCACTCCTGTCCTTTCATGGTCTCTTTTCTAGTTTAGTGACACATATCAAAGTGACTTCACATGGCCCACAGGGTTCCTTTAGCTGCAATGATCATTCATACATATGCTTCCCAGGAGCCCTACAGATGAAGTCTACATTCACTAATCTAACAGCACAAACAAATTAACATTGGCATTACCTACAATTCGAGTGAGGAATTACAGGCTTTGTCGGTGCCCAGTTATCTTTTCTGCTTCAAGGAGGTGGTGTGAGTAAGTCAGGAAATTAATGCAGAAGTGATTATATACTCACCAATTAAAAAGTTCTTTCTGGATGTTACAGGTTTCTTTTTTATTTCAGGAATATTGAAGATAATACAATACAAGACTAAGCTTTGTCATGCCTGATCCTCTGATATGCTGGTTTCTAATGGTATCTTTCAGAAGCCAGAAGAGTAGGATAAATAAATTATCTAGAAGAGGAAAGAACAGTGAACACAGTACTTGAAGGCATTAAGTGACTTCTCATCGCAAGACAAAAACAGAGCTTTGTCAGGGATAATTTTAGTCTGAAGAGTTGAATTTTAAAACAATACAATTAGAGACATTACCAACATTTAAGAACTGTATTTTATTGGTGTATATAGCAAGGCCATCACACAGAAATAGCTAACCGCTCAGAAGTGTTCTGCTCTCATGAACAGGCTCTGTGGGAACTGACATGTATGCTGTGATCAAGCATAGAACCCGCCTGGGTCTGCTTGTCCCACCATGTCTTATAGCTGCCTTTTAATAAATACATTTCAGCTATAAACCCACCCTAGCGCCATGTGAATCAATCACACATACCTTGATATGTGACATATTTTTGATTGACATTCATTTTGAAAGACTTGCAGAGCGTGGACCTTCACCCTCCCACACAGGAAAGTGACTCCCCAAACCACTCAAGAGAAGCGGTCTCAATGCAAATAGCATGAGGAATTTTTATTCCAAGTGCACTGGGGTCCACAGTCATAGGACTGAGGACCTTGAGGGCAGAATTGAGACAGTTTTTATAGGGTTTACAACAAAGGCAGGGGTTTCACAAGCAGTTTACGAAGTCAGACAAGCAGTTAGTTAGCTCATTTTCTGTTATCTGACTAGGCCAAGATTACATACTCCTTGCTGTAAACAGCAAGGAGTATGTGACCTTGCCTATTTACTGGCAGAGGACAGGGCCTGGAATTTGAGGTTTTTAGGGCTTTTTAGATAGTATTTCTAAACTTTTAGCTTCCTGTGGTCATTGGAGAGTTAGGCTGTATTTTTCCATCCTTATAATTTCTGTCATGGTATGGCATCTATGAATTGTTGGGAGTGTTTATTTGGGGAACAAGTTCTCTTTTTGTCTTTATTTGATTTCCTATTGCATTGCTGTGAGGATGAGCTTATCCATGTGGTAATATCTAAGGACTCTTGTGAATTCAAGAGTTCTGTAATTTAGACAAGAATGTGTGCTCCCTGAACTTGCCCTTTCAAACATTGCATTCACTTGTTTCTGTGGATGCTGATTTTGTAAGTTAAAAATACTTTCTTTGTTTGCTTGCTTGCTTGTTTTTTGAGACAGGGTTTCTCTGTGTAGCCCTGGCTGTCCCAGAACTCATGCTGTAGACCAGACTGGCTTTGAACTCAGAGATCCTCCTGCCTCTGCCCCCCAGAGTGCTGGAGCTAAAGGTGTACACCACCAACGCCCGGTAAAAATGCCTTTTTACAGTATTTTGAATTGTTGGATGCAGAGTTCTCTGATATTTAAGTCTTTTTACTCACAATTTTTTGCATCCATCAGTTTCTTATAGGCACCTTTTTGCTTGTTTGTTTGTTTGTTTTTGAGACAAGGCTTCTCAGTGTAGCTATGGAGCCTTTCCTGGAACTCAATCTGTAGATCAGGTTGGCCCTGAACTCACAGAGATCTGCCTGCCTCTTGCTCCAGAGTGCTGGGATTAAAGGTGTGTGCCACTAGCTCTTATAGGCATCTCTTAAGTCAGTTATTCAATAGTATAATATGCCATTTATTTTATATAGTTTAAGCAACAAATAATTGTCTTTCTTATACTTTAACCAAATGTTATGTCTTAATTTTGTGTGTATAAGTTATACACAGGCACATGTGCATGGTCTTGTGTGGGCAGATGCCCATGTATGTGCAGGTGTGTATGCTCATATATGTGCATTTGTGTGGAGGCCAAAAGTCAACCTTGGGCAGCATTCCTCAGTAGCCGTCCACCTGGGACCTGGGGTTCTTCAATTTAGTCAGGTGGCTAAGCTTTCTAGCTAGTCCACACACATTCACCTCAGCATGACCTGTGACACAATAATTTAAAAGACTGCAGACAGTGAGCGATTGTATCCATTTCCCCCTCTCCTTTGAGAAGAACACCAGGCATGGAGAGCTTCCAAAGAGCTCAAAATTCTACCTTTTGTAGTGTCTTAACTAAATATTTTACTTGATATTCATAAATGTTTATGATACACTAGGATTCAAATTGTCTCCTCATGCCTTTGCCAAGCAAGCACAAAATGTCAAAGCGCAGTTTTTCTCAAGAAGCAAGGTTCCTCAAACCTTGCTTATTGGGACCAGTAAACCAGTCATCCAAGCCTGAAGCAGAAGGTTGGAAGGTTAGGGCCTGATGCTGCTATGGGCACCAAATGACTGATAGTCAGCCCAGTTGGAGGCAGAAGGCAGATGTCCTGATGCTCAAAGGGCCGTTCGAACCAAGCTTGGATCCCGGGAACATGCAGGAGCTAGAAGGAAACAGGAAGGAAGAAGAAAACAGACAAACAAAACTAGTTACCCTGTCCTTAAAGAAATGATTTGCAAAGTTTGGGGTGCTGGTACTGAGGAGGAGTGCCCTCAGTGTCCATTCTTGCTCACAAATTGGGGGAGGAGTCATGGACCAGGCTCACCACTCAGGATCTCAGACTCAGAGGGTATCAGGAGACTTTAGGATTCTGGTGCCAATTTGGGGGCATAAAAGAACACATATTGCTTCATTGGTGGCTTGGGAGTTAGCTTTAGAGCAATAGTATTGAGTCTATGTTATTAAAATCACTGCTGAGTATTGCAGCAGGTATTGTAGAAACTAGATTTGCTGGGTCTTTAACAAACATTCTTCCTTAAGTTCTACAGACTGTGGGAATATGAGTGCCATGCTTCCTGTTGCCCAAAC